CAGCCCTGAGGAAACACTTGTTCTTCTGTCTGGGTCTGAGGAGTCTCTGGGTGTGTGGTGTTTCCAGCCACCCTTGGCTACCCAGGCCCTTTGTGGTGGGGTCACAGTGGGCCCTAGTGGGGGGCCCCATTCTGAGACCAGGGGCCTCTGGGAATGTGAGTGTTAAGAGGATGTTGGGAGCATGAGTGCCACCTCTCTGCGGCCCCTGCATGGGACAAAGAGGATCTGAACATGCCAGGCACTGCCTACCCCCATGCTAGGCTGAGGTCAGGGATGCCTGGAGGGGCTGCTTGGGCTTGGATCTCAGCTGGTGCTGAGGGGGTACTCTACAGTCACACGGGGAGCTTAGTCAGTCTGCCACTGTCCACCCATTCTTGCCCTCTGTAACCGGGCTAGTAAACTCTCTGTCAGCCTCTGCTCAGCTCAACTGCCACCTCCTCCACGAAGCCCTGCCTGATTCTCCTGGTTGAAAGTAGTCTTGCCCATTCCTGTTTCTTCCACAGCACTGGGTGGACTCCTGCACTAAAGGGTGACTGTGTTATTGAAACATGTATGAAACATTTGGGGGAGGGTTCCTTGTGTAGAAGCAGCACAGAGAAGATGCCACCAGCTCAGGAGCCATGGGTTAGAGCTTGGCTTTGCTTCCTACTTGCTGTGTGACTGGTCCAGGCACACCTCCTCATGGAGCCTCAAAATACTACCTATTGGTAAAACAGGGCTATGGCCACCACCCGCCGCACAGGATGTCACAGGATTGGAGCGATTACAGATGAACACTGTCAAGCTCAGAAGTGTAAGTTTTGGGGGTTTATTCCCAAGCATCACACGTCAAGGAACACAGATAAACAGGGGCACATTTACCCCAAATGCACAGAGACTGGGGAAAGGCTGCTCAGTGTCTTTCCACGGAGGCAAGACTGACTCATGGGACAGGAGGCTAGGTTGCCTTTTGTGGCCTCAAGGGAGACAGACTTCAGCTCAGTACAAGGAAAGAGGAGAATGCTGCAACAGAGCCCCCCAGGGTGGGTGTGGTTGTTTCATGGAGTAATGAGCTCTCTGCCATTAGAAGGACACGGAGCCACGTAGCAGGAGTCCAGTACAGAACAGAAATTGAACTAGACAGTTTAAACGCCTGTCATTTTCTGACTCTAGAAAAATGAAGGCATTACTGTGAGCTACTGGCATCAGATGTCAGCTTGCCTTTGACTTTACTGAAAGGGCCTCAGAGGGAAGAGAGTAGGAGAGACAATCCATTTGCTGGTCCTCAGCAGACAGGACTGAAGGTTATTTTCCAGTCCCTGGTCATTCCCTCCTTCACTGTCACTTCTAAGATCATGTCAGGCAAGTATCGAGTCTCTAACTAGGTCAACATTGATCCTTTAATACGCACTTCTTACATTAATTAATTGGTCCATGGCTCTGGTCACTTCTTCGGGAGATAATCATCTGATGAAGTCAGAGGCTGAGGACAAACCGATAAGCAGATGGCATGGGAAGTTCTGCAAGGAGGGATGGCCCAGCCCTCTACCTTGCCTCCATTTCCCAGGTTGCCCCAGATGTGCAGGCAAACTTAGGAATTACCACACATGCAAAAGGTTGACTTATCATCAGCCACTTTCCTGTGGTCAAAAGTTCCCCAAAGTTCCCTTCGGGGTAAAAGTGAGAGGAGTCCCTGGTCCTTCCCCTCTGTGGTTTTGTGTAGGTGATCAGATCATGACTACTGCCCCACCCCAGCGTTTCACCCAGAGTACAGTGGTGAGTCTGCAAGGTGGGGAAGCCACCTTGCAGAGAGGGGAGGGGGCTAATGTCTCTCAGAGGTCTGCCTGCATTCAAGAAGACTTCTTTGCTACCAAATATAGGCAGCTTCCTCTCCCATCCCATAGCCTGTCAGGGTGCCTGTAATTCTACCATTAAAGTCCCTACATTTGGCTTAAGGCAGCAAGTTTCAAACTGTGCCCTGCAGGGCCCTAGGAGTCCCCAGAACCCCTTAATTGTTAAATGGAGCAATTGACAGGTGGGGGCTCCAGGCTCCCCCTCCATCAGAACACTTCTACTTTTATCTGATTGAAAAAGATGAAAAAAAATCCATTGGATTAAGAGATATTAAAATATCTATATTATCTAAGATTTACACAACAAATGTATATTAATTTTGTTAAGAGGAAAGAATAAAACAAGCTAAAAACAATACTCCTAGAGCATTTAAGCAGGTAAAGGCCTTTTGCAAGTGGGGACAGTGGCCCACAGAGAGCTGAGGGTCTGCCCGTGTCTCACAGCCAGTCCACCAAGAGCCAAACAGGGAGGGTCAGGGAGTTACTCCACCAATCAGCGTGTCATATTAACTCTTACCACATTGCAGAGTGGAAAGTTCCAAGAACATGCATTTGATCCTTACTCTTACTCCCTGAGGAAACTGTGGATGGAAGGGCTGCTGAAAAGCAGATGGGAGAATGCTCAAAACCAGCTCTGGGTGGGACAGGAAAGTCCCCTGAACCTTCTGAATGAGAGGGACCAGCTCAGAGAAAGGAGAAGGAGGTGCGGACACTCACTTGCCTCTGGTCCAAGGGTAGAGGGATAGCTGCCCTGCCGGCACTGCTACTGTGACCTGGACATCACAGATCCGGGAAAGGTTTTGCAGAGCCAACTTAATATTCTCATTTTACAGATGCAGAAACAGGGCCTGGGAGTTGCCTCCACCCAAGCAGAGAGTTATGCACAACCTGGACATCAGGGTCCTGATCCCTGGGCCACAGTTTTCTGCAAGAAGAGGGCTTTGGCTGAAAGGAGCCAGGCACCTCACAGTGGAGGCAGAGAGGGTGGCTGGGCACTGAGACTCCTCTGTGGGTCTCAGGGCCCCATGTGTAAACAAGAGGATTTGATTTTGAGCAGCAACTCCTGCCTGCTTGAATTCATGGACCAATACAAGTGTGTTTTTTAACCTGAGAGATTAACAAAAAGATTGCTATCTTTTTAATTTTACTTAGTAAAGGCTTTACCAAAAACTATCATCTACTATTACATCCTTTCATTTATGCAAAGACATGCATAGGATGGACAGAATCTCAGAGTAAAGGTTGATTTTATAAATGGAAAGAATTTAGTTTACATAAACTCATTTATATAATTGCCTTATTTATCTATTTTTTTTGAGACGGAGTCTTGCTCTGTCGCCAGGCTGGAGTGCAGTGGCACAATCTCGGATCATTGTAACCTTCGCCTCCTGGGTTCAAGCAATTCTTCCACCTCAGCCTCCCAAGTAGCTGGGACTGCAGGCGCGTGCCACCACATCTGGCTAATTTTTGTATTTTTAGTGGAGACGGGGTTTCACCATGTTGGCCAGGATGGCCTCGATCTCTTGACCTCATGATCTGGCCTGCTTCGGCTTCCCAAAGTGCTGGGATTATGGGCGTGAGCCACCACGCCTGGCCTAATTGCCTTATTTTTATCATTTTGTCATGAACTGATGGGAATGGATCAGTCCACGATAGCATGTGGGAACCTCTGAGCTGGACATGTACCCTATGAGGGTCAGCTGGGGAGGGCCAGGGTTCTAAATTGTAGCTCCTGAAAATGTTTCTCTGGCCTATCACACTTCCAAAGGTGTCTCTTATCCCTAGATGCACAGTTTGGCAGAGCACAAGAGGTGAGCTGATCATGGTCTCTCCCTGCCTAAGGGCAAACAGAGGCAGACTGAACCATCTAGATTAGGAGTTTGCTAAGTATTTTTGTAAAGGGCTGGACGTAAATATTTTGGGCTTTGAAGTCTCTGTTACAAGTACTCAATTTTATGTAATTTTCATGTGTCCCCAAATATCTTTTTCTGTTTTTTTGAGACAGGGCCTTATTCTGCTGCCCAGGCTGCAGTGTCGTGGCGTGATCATGGCTCACTACAGCCTCAACCTTCCCGGGCTCAGGTGATTCTCCCACCTTGGCCTTCAGACTAACTGGAACTACAGGCATCTATCACCACTCCAGGTTAGTTTTTGTATTTTTTTTAAAGGTGGGGTTTCACCATATTGCCCAGGTTAGTATCAAACTCCTGGGCTCAAGCTATCTGCCCACCTCAGCCTCTCAAAGTGTGAGGATTACAAGCATGTAATTCTTTTTTTTTTTTTGGAGATGGAGTCTTGCTCTGTTGCCAGGCTGGAGTGCAGTGGCTTGGTGTTGGCTCACTGCAACCTTCACCTCCCAGGTTCAAGTGATTCTCCTGCCTCAGACTCCCAAGTAGCTGGGACTACAGGTGTGTGCCACCACGCCCAGCTAATTTTTATATTTTTAGTAGAGACGGGGTTTCACCATGTTGGCCAGGATGGTCTCGATCTCTTGACGTTGTGATCCGCCTGCCTCAGCCTCCCAAAGTACTGGGATTACAGGCATGAGCCATCATGCCTGGCCACAGGTATGTAATTCTATGTAATTTGCATTCTAACACTTCAGAATTACAGGCATGTAATTCAGTAACAGTTTGTCATTTACCAAGGGGTGTATATTTGTTATTATAAGAACTTTTTTGATGATTATTAATTAGGCCTCGTAACAATTCTGTGATGCAGAAAACAGATTTACAGACAAGCAAGCTGTGGCTTGGGAACATTAGCAGTGCACCAGACCACACAGTGAGAGAGCAGCCTCACTCCGCCTCGAGAAATTACAGGTCAGTACGCATGGCCTATCGTTCCTTTGATTTTTTCAACCATTTGAAAATATAAAAACCATTCTTAGCTCGTTGCTCAGGTGGTAGGCCAGAGGTGTCCCATAAGCCACAGTTTGCGGACCCCAGACTGGATTGCTGTCACCCTAAGTCTATCGCCAGGTGGCTTTGGGCAAGACCCTTCACCACTGTGAACATCAGTTTCCTCACTCCTTATAAAGCAAATTCAGTCCAGACTCAGAACTAGGAGGGAGGTGCCTGCCAGGGGTGGAGCAGGCAGCTGTCTGCTCAGCTTCAACCTGGAAAAGTCAAGACAATGGACAAACTTTTCTGTGATGGGCCAACATACCTTCTCCTGAGTTCGAAGACGGCTTCCTGGGCTTATAGACTGGAGGCCTTCCCCTCTGCATTTGGGGCAGATCCGATCCTCGCCATTCCTGGGGAAACAGGGACAAAGCACTGGAGTGATGCACTCTAGCTCCCTGCACCGTCCACTCTCCTGACAGCTCCAGAAGCCTGAAGCGTCAGCAGGTGGTGATCGCGTACGTTCACAATCCCAGAGCCAGTTCCTACATCGCAAAAGTGCCGAGCATCCCACATTTTTCAGTGGTTTGCAGTGAGCTTCCTGGGCTGCCAAATCTGCCCTGACTGCACTGACCGGAAGCTATTATAGCCCTTACCTGCCCCGCTTAGCGTGAATATTTACAGGTTTCATTGCAGAAACATTAATGTGCTTGATTACAAGGTGCTGCTCCATTCCCTGCCAGAGGAATTAGGTGATGCCCTGATTTGCTTTTCTAAAAAATTCTGAATTTCAAAACACATCTGATGTCAAGGGTTTAGGCAAGAGATTGTTGACATGTAACTATACTTGCTCTTCTCATTTGGTCCTCCATTTGATTTTGGTCTCATATTTTTAGTGATTAACAGAGGATCATGGCCTATTAGAACAAGAAGGGGGGCCTCAGAGAACAGCTGGCCTGGAGGTTCTTAATCAGGAGTGGGTGTCAGATTCTAACAGGTGACATCTAGGTGCCCGTGTTTTTTTTTTGTTGTTTTGTTTTTGGGTTTTTATTTTTTGAGAGAGGATCTCACTCTGTCACCCAGGCTAGAGTGCAGTGGTGTGATCTCAGCTCACTGCAAACTCTGCCCCCAGGTTCAAGCCATTCTTGTGCCTTAGCCTCCCGAGTAGCTGGGATTACAAGTGTGCACCACCAGGCCCAGCTAATTTTTGTATTTTTAGTAGAGGTGAGGTTTCACCTTGTTGGCCAGGCTGGTCTCAAACTCCTGACCTCAAGTGATCCTCTTGCCTCGGCCTGCCGATGCTCGGGTTATAGGCGTGAGCCACTGTGCCCGGCCAGAACCTGTGTTTTTACAAAGCTCCTGGTGTCTCTGACCCGATACTGAGATAGCCAGTTTTACAAGTGAGGAAATGAGATCCCAGAGGGCATGTGGATTCCAAGGTAGAGTGAGTCAGGAGCAGAGCTGAGTAGAAGTTCTTCAGGACTTAGGCCTCAGGCTTCGGCCTTCCAACTTCCAATCAGCTCCCTCCTCTGTCAGGTTTTGGAAGGATGGAAAGGGGAGACCAGGAGATCCACCATCAGAGCCTGAGCTTGGTGGTAAAACCAGTCAAGCTCCGCTCCTCCACCCCCCGGCTGGCCTTTCCACCGCCACAGCCTCTCCTCGCTATCCCACAGCCTCCTTTGCCGACAGATTTGAACTTCTCACTTGCCTGATTCAGCTTTCCCACCTTCTTAAGCTATAAAACCCCAAACAAAAGGTCATCACATGAGGCAGTTTAAGGGCACATTTGCCAGGAAACCGTCCAAAGCTGACCTAATTTCTCTGTTAGGCCTCAGTGTCCTCATTTGTAAAATAGGTGGGAGCCGATGCCTTTCTGTGGCTTCCTCTCCTCCCACCACAGCCAGAAGGGCAGTGTCAGGGAGTGTGAGAAAGGGTGTGTGGAAACTGAGGCCTAGACAAGTAAAGTCACTTGCCTGAGGTCACAGGCTCCTCGGCCCATCACCTTCCATCAGGGGTCCCTCCCTGGCACCCACTTTCTGCCCGCCCTCCGCTCCTCCATCACCTCACCTCAGGTTCTCAGAGAGACAGGCTGTGCAGCAGAGAGCCCTGGGTTCCTTTGGGTCCTGGCAGACGGTGGGAGGGCACCCAAAGGGAAACTCATTCTCATCAGGGGCCGGGCGGGGGCTGCTGCCTGAGCTGGAGGCCATCTCAGGATTCCAGGCTGGCCAGAGGGCCCGTCTAAGTTCCTCCAGGGCAGGGGACCAGCTCTGTGGAGTCCTGCCCTGGGCTTCACTTTCTGGTGAGTAGGAGTCTGATGACTTTATCTTCTTCTCTCTGGCTTGTGTGGTTCAACGTCATAGCTGAGTCACAGCAGGGATGGAGCAGGAATTACCCTTTGTGGTGATAAAAATCCCCTGGATGGTGACTGAAGGCTTTAGGAGTGTCCAGTCATTTTTTATTTTAGAGTGAGAAAAAGCAAGAGAGCAAGTCAGAGAAAATGAGCCATGTCACAGACTCTCAGAAAGCACAGTGAGAGTTCCCCTGGCTAAGAATCACAGGCTACCGCTGGCTTCCCCCACCTCCCTGGGCACATTGGAGGAGGGCGCCACAGCTGGCCCCTGGTCTGTGTTCCCTGGCACCTCTGAGCAGCCTGGAATTCTCAGTGGGGGTGCTCACCTTCCTAGTGGAAATCCCCAGGGTGTTGGAGGCAGGTCCAAAAGTTTAAGTTCTAGGCGCTTTCACTCTGCTCTGTTCAGAGCATCTGGGTAACCTCAAGAAGTCACTTCCTCACCGTGGGTTTGGATGACCCATTCTGTAAAAAAGAAGTTGCAACAGGTGGCCTCTGAGCTCTAAAATTCTGGGACCCTATCTCTCCTGGGACTGAGGTAACCAGAAGGAGCAGGAAGGCCTCTGATGACCCAACACCTCATGGCATTCTGAACAGTCACGGTGACACCATGACTTTCCTTTGAAATCCAAGGCCTTAGGACCACAGACTCCTCAGGGCCCTCCCCGATCACCCCACTCAGGAAGTCATAGGTGGCTACATGCTCAGGTCAGGCGTCACCACGTCGCTGCCTCAAGGAGAACAAAGCACTAAACAAATACAAGATCCATGTTCTCAGGAAAAGTTCAGCTTGAGAACGATGGCTCCTGCATGTCTACTGTGTGCTGGGCAGCAGTTTACGGGCAAGGAATTCTTCTGCAGCCGTATATACGGTCAGAGAAGCAAGATGCTTGGTCCAGAGGCACACAGCTCCTCTGGTGGTGGAGTGGGATTCGCACCAGGGCTGTGGGGTCCCAAGCTCTGTGTGCCTGGGATGGAGATCAGAGTACCCAGCTCTTGTTTCATCTATCAAATGGAGATGATCCCTACACATCTTTCCATCCTGGTTTTGCAAACTTTCATGATGGTTTCAAATCATGGGTTTTAAGGTCAGACAGCGCTGAGTTGGGATTCTGGGTCCACCACTTACTAACGGTGGCCCCTGGGACAAGGTCCTCTTAACTTCCCTGAAGCTCATATTCTGCATCTGTAAAATGAGACAATCATACCTATTTCACCCAATTGTTGTGATGACTAAATGAGATGGTGGGTCAAAGTGTGGCGTGGCGCGTAGCCCAACTGAAGTACTTGAAAGTCTTTGACATTTGGCTCAGATGATGGCTACAGGCCTTCCAGCTCCTCAGAGAAAAGGATTAAAGTGGTGCATTATGCTTATACTGTGTTTTCACGTCTCTCAGCTGGAGCCTCAAAGGTTGGCAGGGCAGGTCATCTGACCTGAGATACATTAAATTGCCCACCTGCCATGGTGTAATACTGGGGCTGCCACAGGCTGGTGGCAAAGAGGGCACGCATGGCATCTTACTGCCGCAATGTACATCGGAACCTCCACCCGTATAGCAAACGACCTCTAGACCTGCACCAAGACTATCAGAAGACACTCCCTTTAACTGTGTACCCCACACCCGCAAACTTTCCTGCAGCCCTACCTGTTCCCTCCTTCCCCTGGTTTGGGAGCAGGCACCCAAGACTGATCTCGCCATCTCTGGGTCCCTTCTCTCTCCTTTGGCCTCAATACCACCCTCTACCTGCTCATTCCCACGGCCATCAAAATGTGCCCAAGCTGCTCTAATAAGAAAAGGGAAAAATAACTAGTACTGCTTTTGGGTGCCGTATTAGGTAATTTTATGGACATCATCTCATCTAATTTTCACTCTGTGAAGCAGGTATTGCCATCATCATCCCCATCCTACAGATGAGAAAACCGAGGCACAGAGAGGTTAAGTGACTTGCTCAAGGTCTCACAGCTAGTGAGTGGGGACTCCTGAACCCAGAGCCAGTCCTCTAACCACGCCTGCTTTCAAAACACTCTTTCTGCTTGTCTCCAATTTCCACATCGACTCTCTCTCCTCACTTAACGGTAGAACTTCTAGAAAATATTGTCTATACAGGCACCTGGATCGCCAGGGAACCATCTCTCCAAGTTTATACGAATGTCGAGGACTCCAAATGCACTGGGCCTGTCCCAGTTTCTATCCAACCAGCCGTCCTGCCGGCACCTGACCCGGCTCCCAGCCCTTCCTTCGGAATCCCTTCCTTTCCCCGGCTTCCCGCACCCTCTAGGGGGAATTCCCCCGAGTCTCTGGTGGCTCCTTATCCGTCTCCGTGACCCCTTTCTCTTCCATGCTGAGCCTCCGTCGGCTCCATCCACGAGGAGTCTCTGCGTCGCGTGTCCCCATTTCCCACTCGTCCTTCGGGGCCCCCTGCACCAGACACAACTCCCCTGGGAAGTCTCCGTGGGCTGCCCCGTGATGAGGCTGGGCGCCCCGCTCTGTGATTCCTCGCGCCCGCCGGCGCCAGCACAACCCCGGCCGCCCGGCTCCGCAGGCCCGGTTGCCTGTCTGAGTCCCCAGCCCCGTCCGGGAGCCTGCCCAAGGGCGGGGACTGCCGCGTCGCCACCTCCACAAATCGTTGCGAGCGCAGCGCTGGGAGACTGGCAGCGCCGGAGCCTGCGGGGAGGGAGGAGCGCCCGGGGCGCCGGGGCTGGGGACAGTGAGTCCGGGGGCGGGCTCCGCAGCCGAGGTTCCAGGTCCCCGGCCGCGCCCGGGGAGTCCCCGCCTCAGCGAGCGCGAGCTGGAGCGGGGCGTCCAGGGCGAGGAAGGGGGCCGGGAGCCGCCCTGCGGTTCTGGCGCCGGGGTGCAGGGCAGGCAACCTAGGCGCCGCCTCTGCCACCGCATCCCCGCTGCCCCGCCGGGAGCTTCCGGTGGGGTGTGGAGGCCGCAGCCGTGCAGGCGGAAACCGGGGAGGCAGGGCCGGGGCCGGGGGCTGCTCCCCGGGCCGCCCCGGGGCGGGGCGGGGCGAGCGATCCCCATGCGGGGAAACTGAGGCTGAGGCCCGGGTCTGCGGCGCCACGGGCACTGTGCGCCCACTGTTAACTGACACGCGTGGACGCCGCTCCTCTGCGTGAGGGGCTCCTGGCACCTGGTGCGGCGCCTGCGCGTGTTTAGTGCTCGGTAAACTGCCCCCTGAAAATACAAACACAAACCGGGAATTGGAGCCCCCACCCTGGTCCCCTTGCCTGCCCGAAATCCCAGTCTTACCCTTCTTGGATTTCTCCAGAGATCCTAGCACAGTGCCAGGCTGGCCCAAGCTTACTGGGTTGGAGCAATTGAGGAGGAAAATAAATATTAAATCTGAATAAATAATAAACTCTGAACCAAAGTCCCAGAATTATCATAGTGAGCAAAGAAGCAAGCAACCTCCCCTGGCTTAGTTTAGATCGCTCACAGCTGCCGAGCTTATCTTACATTCCAGGCTAAGTTGTAAACTGTGTTTAGATAAAAAGCAGACCCAGCACGGACTCCTCCTTCGGCTATAAGACATCCAAGCATATCTTTGTACCTGCAGACCACAAGCATATTTCTGTAAAATTCTGTTTTTCCTCCCCAGTTACAAGTCCTGGAAACGCAATAACCAAGTAGACAATGTATGTTTTCTCAAGGTTGTAAAACGTGTCACAAGTCAATGATTAACTGTCTTTGTTTAAGCCTATTTCCTGCCTTGTCTTCCCAGCTGAGAAAATATATAAGCAAGGTATTTTCTTTGCTTTAGGCAGGCGGCCATTACTAGCAGTAAGGCCACTGTCAGCCGGACCTCCAATAAAGAGGTTCTCTTGTGTCTTTTGATCGCTCTGTTCTTCTCCGCTCAAATTTCCACAACACAATCAGTAAAGTGATGGTACTAAGTGGTTCCAGGCACTGTGCTTTTACAAACCGGGTATTTTAAGGAACCGTTTCTGTTTTCATTTAAACACACACACAATCGCTAAGTCCTTATGAATATGTAGTAATCAAAATAGTGATGGAACTTAGTGTTGGGGTAGAATTTTAGATTAAAAGCTACAAACCACTTTTATTTTTGCAAACTACCAATTTGACAAAGGCTCCTTCTCTGTCAGACGTCTTAGTAGGACTGATGGAGGGAGGGGCGAGGCTGCCCACCTTGTTGGTTTGGTTTTAACCCCTCAAAGGCACCTGTTAAATCTCTTTATGTGTTAGGATCCCTTTTTATGTGTTGACTCTCAACTGGATTGTAAGAGCAGGGAACCATCTTTTACTTGTGTGTTTTTTAACCTGGCATGACTGTAAGTCTCTCACTTATTGGAGGCAGAGCTGCTGTCCTCCAACTTCCGCTACACAGGCTGAAGCTGCAGGACACAGGGTACTCTAGTGAAAGTGGAACCTCAGGGGGGCCCACCTGGGAGGGAGATGCTACTTGTGGACAAGCAGAGGATCTCAAGGGCCTCTAAGAGAGAATTTCTGCAATCTATGGGAGGTTGACCAGATGTGGTCTCTGTGAAAAGGGTTCAAAGAATTAAGTGTCTGAATTAAAATTAATGGACTCTGAGTCAATTAGTCTGATGGTTTTCCCATCATCAGAAAACATTTATGTGTCGTTGACCTTGCCTTTTCCTGAGTATTGTGAAGTTAGAAATAACATTCTAGCAAAAATGTGGAAAGAAATCTGGGGTTGTTTGTTGAAGGGAGTTCCTAAGTCTGGTGATTTTTCCCTACCTCAACAGACGTCCATATTTTTAAAAAAGAAACAATGCAACTCTGAAGTTATTTGAATTCTAGGCACCAAGCAATCCCTGAGGTTCTTCTAGTTGCTTATGGGACTGGCCACTTTGAAGGTGCAATGGGGATTTCAGTTTCTGATGGAAGTGCTAATGACTCTCATGGTCAGGCAATGTGGTTCTGGGGAAGAGCTTGGCAGATGGACCCTTTGATAGGGACATGCTCTAAGATGCCAATCATGAGGAAGACATTAATAGTAGCCAGCTTGCTGCCTCTGTTTGCCATCTGTAGCTACCCATGTGTCCTGTTCTGAGAGACTGGTTTTTCTGTGGGGCCATTCTTTCCTTCATGGACTCTGGAAACAAAGACTCTTCCAAAGGTGGGCACATTGCACAGGGGCCTTTTGAAGAAAAGTTTCTCAAGGATTTGGGGCCTATAAAAGCCACTCTCTTCTGTCCCACCCACCCCTTCCTCTCTGCCCTAAGCCAGCGTAAGTGAAAAGAGCAGGCAGTCTGACCTCACTCTCTTCATGTGCCACATCCTGTTTTCAGATTAATGAGCTCATTTGCTGGAAATTTACCAAGGGAAATAGTTTAATTTTGGAAAGTACCAAAAAGTTATCTGTAGTCATTCAGCTTAATTTGGGGGGCTCTTGACATGGAGGGGCATCACCAGAGGACCTCTGAATGCCCGGGGAACAGCAAGGCAACAGAAATTGAAAGCTGAGCCCAGTGAGGCTGAACCTGACTCAGAAAGGAAAGAAAATCTTTTGGAGGCCACTCGTGTCTACCCAGTTGAATTTTTTTTTCTAAAAATAACTTTAAAAAGAGAAATAGTTATCTGGCCAAGGCCTCATATCTGGTGTTCTGACCGTGGAGCCATGACTGAGGAATAAGAAAATGAACACAGGGAAGTGGGCAGCGTTTGAGCCTCAGCCCTCTCCCTTCTTGTCCATGTATTAATATGTTTGGCCTGTTCTAAGAGGCATGGAAAGGCTTTCAGCCTCCAGTTTCCCCCTAATCCCTTAGCTATCCGCCCCTTAACATTGAAGTTGCCTGCCTAACCTAGTAGCCTTCTGAGCTTGTGGCTCCTGCAGCCAGGAGGATTCTAGATAATTACCGATCTGTGAGCCATTCTGCATTGGCGATGATGAGATGATGGAGCACAAGTGATGTGCCCCCTAGACTTTGCCTCTAAGCATCCAGCCACCCCCTGGCCTGCACTGTTTCCCAGAGCAGCAATTTATAATCCGTTCTTTTTTTTTCTTTTTAAAATTTATTTATTTTACTTTAGGTGCATACTATATCTGGCATTTCTAAGCAGAATGAATGGAACACGTAAGTGTATCCAGCCGGCTAAAGGCCGCCATTTGGGCAGGCTCCTGTTTGTCAACAGCCCTTAAATGTGGAACCCAGAATGATTATCACTTCCTCAACCCCATCAGCCCTTTGGGGCCTTCTTCTCATTGTCAGCAGCGTGCCTTGTCTCTGTCACACAGCTTGAGTTTAGTAAAAACAATTAGTGAACAGCTTTCCTGTTAGTATCATCTTAATCTGCTCTGATAACTTCTGATTCCTGAACCAGGAAATTTAATTAAACAGATGATTACAAGCTGTCAGCAACCTGTCAGATTAGAACACCAAATGGTACTGGGTTCTTCAATCCAGATTCAGTGTCTCCCTGTGGTACCTTACGTAGAACTGATATCAACAACAAAACAAAGAAATAAAACATGATCTTATAAAAATGATAGCATGTCATGTGTATTTTTTGCTATGGTCTGATGATTAAAAATTCCTCCAGTTTCCTTCTGTTAATCTCCGTCTTGGTTCTTATTACACTTATTATGACTAGCAATTTTTAAAACATGGCTGTTGACAGGGTTTTTTTTCTACCACAGAATTATGAAAACATGAAATTGTAGGAATATATGAAAATGTGTATAGGAATATATGAAATTAGATTAATTAAAACCATGAAAGTAAAGCTGTATCTGATTTCATTGTTGCTTCCCTTGGCTTAGCATGATGCTAGGTACATAGGAGACATCAATAAATATTGATTCAATAAATGACTAATATGCAACATGCTATTAATAAAAATTTGTACTTGTGGTAACAAGAGTTAATGATTTCTCCACCATCAGAAAACATTTATTAAGTATCTTCAACCTGGCCTTTTCCTGTGTGTTGTGAAGTTAGAAATATCATTCTAGCAAAAATTTGGAAAGAAATCTGGGGTTGTTTGTTGAAGGGAGTTTCTATGTCCAGTAATTTTCTCTATCTCAAGAGATTTCCAGAATTTAAGAAAAGAAACAAAGCACCTCTGAAGTTATTTGAATTGTAGGCACCAAGCAGTCCCTGGGGTTTTTCTAATTAATTGGTTATGCACTGTGAAGATGCAATGGGAATTTCAATTTCTGATGGAAGTGCCAATGACATTTATGGTCAGGTGATATGGCAGATGGACTCTTTGGTAGGGACATGCCCTAAGATGCCAATGATGAGGAAGGCATTGATACTAGCCAGCCTACTGCCTTTCTTTGCCATCTCTGGCTACCTAGCTATCCTGTTCTAAGAGACTGCTTTTGCTGTGTGACAATTCCTTCTTTCATGGACTCTGGAAACAAAGACTCTCCCAAAGGTGAACGTGCTGCACCAGGGCCTTTTGCTGGGCTACAGAATTATTGCTCTTTCTTCATACTCCCCTTTGTGAGCCTTGGGTTCCCTGGCCACTGGCTAGTACAGAACAAGAATAACTTGGTGTTCGAGCTCAACAGCTGTCAACATCTGGCTGAGAAT